GCCTCTGCAGATTAGTAGTAGGTGTTGTCGTTGGATTGTATTCAGGAGGCCTCTTATGTTTTGATTTAGTTGCTTTCCTCAAATTGCCACTCCGTATAGTAGGATTCTTTCGAGAATCTTCTTGTACTAAATTTTTACTATTGACGAGGGAGTTCCCCAGTTTGAATGAGGTGCTGATAAATCTCATTCAGGTCTTCCTCCATTCCTGCATTATCCAAATAATGCAAAAGATCTAGAATTTCAGACCTTAGAAGGTTGAGAAACTTAGGAAAACTTAGGAAACATTAAACCCGCATGCATAAACGTATATGCGCATGAGTAAAGGTATTATGTGCATGCGTAAACGCATGCATGCGCCGAAAGTTTGTAGCTTTGAGGTCCGGATTAAAGACTTTTGACTGTAGTATATTTTCTGTTTCTCCCTTGCTACATCAGAGTTTTTAATTGCTTCATCGATAATTTTCTGTATGTCTATTAACTTGAATTCTTCTTGCCTTTGCTGTACAAAGAACAGCTTGTCTAAAGCCATTAAAATCTTTCTCTCTCTAAAAATAGTTTTGCAAAGGTCTTTTGTAGTATCGTGCTTTGCTGTTCTCAAGGCAAAACCTAACTCATTGACACAGCTGTCCCAGCGGTTGTGGTAATTCTTAACGTATCCCCTAATAATTTTTAGAATAATCTTATTTACGCGTTCCACAATGATTGTGGTCTATATGGTACCATTTTTAGATGGCATATGCCAAGTCCTGTGCAAAGATTTTTGAATATAGTACTAACAAATTGTTTGCCATTATCTGATGTTACTTTTAGTGGGGCCTCGTATTTTATAATATACTTATTTAAAACTAATCTGCGACTATTTCTAGCTGAAGTTCGTTTAAGGAGGACTATTTCTACCCATTTTGAAAAATGATTAACTATGGTTAACAAATATCTGTTTTTATGTATTCTTTTTCTAGGGTAGGGTCTGAGCAAATCAATGCCAACCATTTCATTTGGGAAAGTAGTCTTTATATTTTTTAAATACCCGGCCGGGTTGCAATTAACAGCATTTATTAATTGGCACAAGTGACACGACCTGATATATGGTGTAACTTTCCTCTGTAACCGCGGAAAATAAACCACTTCGCAGGCCCTCTGTACAGTTTTTCGAATTCCAAGGTGTCCTGCCAACGGGGATTCTTGGAGTTCTTCTAAAACATTTAAACGGAAACTCGCTGGGATCACTGGCCAGTATTCCTGATTCTCATTTGTTAACTTTGTTTAAAACAGTAATTTTAACAGTAAGCACTTCGTACTGTGCCACATTGCTATAAATGTTAATGTTAATGTCCACATTGCGATAACTGTTAAGTCATGCTCAAAATTTTCAGCGTCTTCAAGATATGCATAAATGTCCTTGAATTTAGGATCCTTTCTTAATTCTTCAATGATAGACTCACGGGACTTGATGACTTTCGAAGTGAGCATAGCTTGCTTGATTGTATTCCCCTCCTCATCAATCTTAATTCTTGAAAGGGCATCGGTTACTAAATTTTCTTTTCCATGCATATGTTTTATAATTAAATAAATTGTAATTTTAATGTCCACTGTATCAGGCATGGCGACAGATTTTTCTTCGAATACAAGTGACCGACTGCTGCATGATCCGAGTATACTGTTATCGGAGAACTTCCGAAGTAAATGCGAAATTTCTGAACCTCTTAAATAAAACAGCAAGCATTTCTTGCTCTGTTACCAAGTAGTTGAGTTGAGTTAAGCTTTTTTGAAGAAAAAAAAAGCTCTGGGCTGCCCTTTTTGGGAAAGAACCGCACCAATTGTGTAATTGGATATTTGGTGGTCGTGTGTGCTTAATGCATGATATAATTAAAGAAAATAAGAGTAGACAATCTCCTATAACAAAAGAATATATTAAGTACTAAATTACAATTTAAATTACATTGCAGAGATCAACACAGTTCGTGCTAGCGTCGCGTACACTTGTCCGACGAGAAGTCTGAGTGAGTAAAGATGTCGCTTTTGCTGCTCCGATTAAGAACTGGATTTTACACGTGGCGCCATCTCATGAATAGAAGTTGAAGTATCTGTCGGAACGCCACAGATACATCCTCAGCAATCTCTAATTTTGTTCCTCTTGTGGGAGTTTTGAGGACTGGGGCATTAATTAGGGCATTTTTCAACTGTTCAAAAGCCATGTTCGCCTCAGCTGTCCAAGAATATCTGCCCCCTGTTTAAGCACTAAAAGAGGCTTGACAGCCTTTGCAAAAGTCTTTAATGTGAATACCCTATAATAAGAACACAAGCCCAAAAATGAAGATAATTTTTTAGCCTTGTTTGGGGAAGGATAGCTTTTTAATTGCTAATTAATATCTTGGAATTGTCGGTCTCAATGCCTTTACTTGAAATCTTGTACCCAAGGTATCACAACTCCTTGGCAGTAAACTTGCATCTCTTAGGGATTATTTTGAAGCCCGCCTCATTAAGCAAGGCAAAAACTTCCTCCAAATGTTTAATGTGTTTGTCTATCACTTCGCTGGTGATTATTATGTCATCCAAGTAAATTATTGTACTTTTACCAAAACTGGCCTTAAAACTGTATCCATGGCTTTTTGAAATGTAGCCGGTGCTCCGCTTAAACCAAACGGCATTCTTAAGAAGGGATAGACGCCTGCCTTTGGGATGAAAGTTATCTTTTCGACATCTTCAGGTTTTACAACGATTTAAAAATAACCAGACTAGGTCTAACATTGTCATGTATTTAGTGGAGCTAATTTTTCTGATTATTTCATCAGTTATTGGTAGGGGATACATGGGATATTTTGTTATGCTGTTGAGTTTGCGATAATCAACTGCAAATCTTTATGAGTCCGGGTGCTCGGGCAGTAGCCTATTTTTCTTTCTCCAAAGGATGGCCGGACGTGCATACGGACTAGTGCTCAGCACAACGATTTTATTATTTATCATTTTTTGTGTATAATGTTCCAAAATGTGTTCTTTAACCATGTCATATCTAGTATATGGTTTATACCGGACTAGAGAAACGTTGCCTGTATCAATAGCATGAGTCACCACTTGACAGAAGCCTGGCTTCTCATCAAATAAAGAAATAAATTTTCTTACCAAATTTTCCATTTTTTTCTTTTTCTTCTGGTTTCAGGTGGCCCAGGCTTATTTCCAGCATAGCCCCTTCCTCTTCTTCCACAGGGACCATGTGTGCCTGCAACATAGAATTCTGGAAATTAAGATTCAGGCTAGCTGTGTGCATAAGAAATCAACCCCCAATATTACTGATGTTAGCAAATCTTTCACCACTAGAAAATTTACTTTTAAACACTTCATTTTCAATTTGTACATGGAATGCGGTTTTTCCCAAACATACTTATTGCTTGCCTTGGGCAGCAATTACTTGTTGTTCCGTTGTTTTAAATAATCTAGAAAATTTACTTTTAAACACTTCATTTTCAATTTGTACATGGAATGCGGTTTTTCCCAAACATACTTATTGCTTGCCTTGGGCAGCAATTACTTGTTGTTCCGTTGTTTTAAATAATCTATAATGACAAAAATGCATTTTAAAGAAGTCCTGTGAGAGAAAGCAATACTGAGCTCCGGTATGCAGGAGAGCAGTGGTTGGCATGTTATTCAGTACTCCACATGTTATTCAGTTCTCCAGCAAGGCCAGATTTTGCACCACCACTGAGCGAGTTCAAATGGATTTCTGAGGGACTTTTCTTCCCACTCGGTGACTGTGCCCCTTTTTCAATCATCGCTGTTAGTTTACATTTTGCTTTTCCATCTCCTCTTTTTGCTGGTTTTTGTATCCAAAAGCCCTAGATTTACCAGTGTTTTTTTGCTCCCAGACCTTCCACCTTTTCCCATCTACCGATACACCCTCTGCTGAACTTTCGGTTTCTTCTGCGGAGGAAACCTTGAATGTTGTCGAAACTGTTTTGCATGCGTGTTCTGCACGTTTCTTGTTCTTTGAAACTTCACCGCAAGCTGGAAGAGGTTTTCTAATGTTCGCGGATTGCAGACTTCAAGAAAGTCTTGAGCTGACTGCAATAGACGGGATAAAATCACCTAAATAAGTTCGCTCTCAGTCCTGGTCCCATATAGTAGATTAAAGACTTAAATTTTCCTTAAAATAAACCCGTTAAATTATCAAAGTTCATGTGATATTTGCTAAACAATTCTGTCTGTAGCTTCACACGGTCTTTCACAACTGGAAATGTTTTTAACAATGCAGCCTTGAAGTTTTCCCAGTTGTGTCTCCAAACCTGGATCCCCCAACAAGAACTTGCCATTTCCTCTGTACCAGCTGAGAGCTTGACCTTTTTTAAGTTTCTCGTAGCTATAGTAATTTTTTGTATCTGGTTTACGGGGTACACGGTGTAATGCAGTTTCAGCTGGTTCGAGGAAGATCATTACTGAGCCTTTTCCGTCAAACGTTGCTGTTGGCTTCATCGCGGCACGCATTGTTTATACTTTTAAATATCTGCTCTTCTGTATACTGTAATATTTCTCTCTCTGTTCTTTTCTCCAATAACATGTCAGACACTGCAATACTTGTATGAAAGATTATGTAATATTTTTTTGAAAAGGAAACTACATGTATTTTCCCATAGCTGTATGAAAAATATATTTTGTGTCAATTTTATATTTATGCCTTCAATTTTTTTGTATAAAAAAAGAAATAATGTATTATATAAAGTTTGGTAATCTTCTCATATTGGGAACAAATTCAGAAATGTTTCTATGTATGCACATTCATACGTATGTATGTAAACATATGTGTGTATGCACACACACATACGTACATGTATATTTGCATATATGAACACATACATCCTTACATACCTATATTTCTGAATCAGGTCCATATTCTCCTCAAAGTTTTTGACTGCTAAGTGAGTTATAGTTAACTCTGTAAACCTGAGATTACTTTAAGATCTTAAAAGCCAAAACTATTCATTTTTAGTAATTTTTTTTCCTCCTTGCAGTTTTTTCAATGGACAGTAAGCTTTCTAAATATGGTTATTATAACTTTGAGATACCAGCCTTTTCAAAGAATAGCAAGCTCTTCCAAAGATTAACGGAAAAACTGGAATTTCTAAAGTCTGCTCATCGAAAAAACAAGGTAATTTAATTCTTTCCCTGCATTTATCTGTAATTTTAATTAATTAATTTATCTGTAATTTTGTAAATTGTGTAATGCTTAGATAAAATATTCCAAATACCATGTTGGTGTGAATGAAGGAAATTTCAACTAAATTTATAATTTTAACATTAAAATGACCAAGAAATAATGTGCATCTTTTTCTATCAAGCTACTGTTTAGCAGATTTAATGTTAAAAATATATATTAAAATCTCAGATAATATGTTCCTTTATGTTGTTACATACCCATTTCTTAATTTTTTGCATGTTTGAATTTTAGAATTTTATTTTCTGGCAGCACTTAATTTACTCATTATGAAATTAAGATAAAACTTCATAAGTATTTTATTTAAAAAAAATTTTTTTTAATGTAGGTGGTAAAAAGGTAAATTTATAATGCATATTATTTTATTGATTGTTGGAAAATTAAATGTTGTAATTATTTTGGAATTTGTTGCTGGTGCCCACAGCAAGATGTATAATACTAAGTTGCTAGAAAAATGTAATTCACCTCTATTGGGCACACATTCTTATACTGAAGGAAATTTTTAATATCTACAATGGTATAGAAATATTGCTTTGACCAGTTCTGCTCAAAAATTCCATCAAAACACAGTTCAGGAATAAATAATATAAATGATTATTATTTTGCACTTGCTCAGTGATTTCGAATTTTTTTCATATGTTTTAATATAAGAGCTAAAAATTGCAGAGTACTCTTAACCTCTACTTTCAGAACCTATAACTTCGTCACCCCCTCTAGCTTTCCCGCCTCGTCTCTTAAGATTGAAAATTCATACTTTAAATATTCCAAAAGCTACTTCTTCCCAGCCTTCTAATGGTAGACCTGTTGATTCCTTTTAAATGCTTATTGCAGATGCCAAATGAGAGTTATTATCCATGGTAGTTTCACGTCTGTGTAGAGAAAAAATTTTTTACACTTATCCATTATTATATAATTAACACTGTCTGTGTAACAACTCTAAATGGGGGGGGACTTAATTTAAAACATTAAACTTGAATTGGCTTGTATGTTAACAGTTAAAGAAAAATTAGTGTGTAGTTTACTTTATGATTCATTCATTGCTGAAAATATGATAACTGCCAATTTTTTTATGTGATAAATAGTTCAGAATGGGAAACTTGATAATTACGTGTAAATACTTAAGGAATTAAGCAATATAATTAGATGCAGGCAGGGAAGGATATAACTAATTTCAACACTTTTTGTACATTCATCAATCAAGAATGTTCATAATCGAAAATCATAGCAACTTCTTTTCCTTTTTTTCAGTAAAAAATATAAACTCTAAATGTATTGCTCTTTTTTTAACATTAAAAATAACACTTCTTTCTGTCATTATTAATAACTGAAACTTGGGAACCATTGCACTAGCTCTTTTACTATAGGTTTGAATATAACTACAGTCTTATTATTTGATTTTAAGACATCTATTTCCTTACATAGTAAATCTTCCTAATATGCATTTATTTAAAGTGTAACGCATCTTATATTTTGATCTTTCAGTGGCTTCAGATGATTTTTTTTTTTTCCTTTTTACCCTTTTTAAAACTTGGGGGCTATAATTCACAAAACAAGATTTTGTGATGTATCACTATGCTTGTCGACTCACCTTTCAAATTGTCATCATCAGATGTTGTTGCTGTGTTTTATATTTAAAGAAATTAAATAATGAATAATCTGCATGTATGTATGTTCTTGCATTGTGAAAAAGCAATGGTACCTAGAGCAATCAAATTTTGAATGGTGTAGTTCTCCACCCTAACGCATAGAATATGTTTTATTATTTATTTCAGATTTTATAAAATTTAATAAAATTTTGGTTAAAAAACTCAACAATTTGAGAGCAGCACTGTTCAGAATAAAGAGTTTATATCTCCAATGCACAAAACTGTTGCCATTCAGAAAAATGTAGGATATTTATCTTCCAATGTAAATTAGCAAGCTCGGCTCTCTGAAAGCATTTTGTTGCTATTGCTGAAGATAAAATACTTTTATGTTCCATTTGCCAGCATGTTGCTATTCAATAAAGCCTAGGATAACTTAATTTAACCTGGAAAGTTAATGAGTAATAAACTAAGTGATGTACAAAGAATAAACATAGTTCTTAAAAATATATTTTCCGATTTCTTAATGCGATTGATTGAAATAAAGATGTTTTAAAATCATAAGATGACTAATTAGAAATATTAAATATTTTTATGAAACTGCACTAGCTGTACTCATTGAAATCATTATATAATGTTCCTCTCCTCCACCCTTTTTTTTTCAATCCTTTCGACCCGACTTTTGCGTGATTAAAATTTAACTATGAAAAGTAGTTAAATTAATGTTGACATACTAAAAGAAATGTAATATGAGTTTAAAGTTTTTAACTTTTCCTGTTTCCTGGAAATCTTCTGGGACAGTATGTTCCAATCGTATTGTCAGCTGGGAGTATTTGTCCCAATTGTGTAGGATATTACCTTTCTCAGAAAACAAAACTAACATTTGTGGTAATATATAATGTGAATATTACAAAAGGTAAACTCTGCCACATGCACCAGTTCATATGCAACAAAAATTTTCATAGATGTTTTATAAACATAAACGTAATATATATGGGACATATTAACTGTTCAATACGATTGGCACAATATATCCCACAAAAAGAATTTTATTCAAAATTTCTTAAATCTGACATTAAAAAAGTTAAATTACTTCTTAATAAGAACTATTTCATACTAAGCATGCCTTGGATATAATTGTATTCACTGCAAATTTTTTAAAAAAATAGACAAACCGAAATTTAAGTAATTGGCATGCTCAAAAACATAAGTGTGCCATTTGCAATTTAAAAGTGTTGCCAGGTTTCTTTAGTCATTTATTTGTACCCTATTTCCTTAGAAACACTGCAAATGTAAAAACCCATTTAAAAATGAGTTTTAGTTACCCAATAGGCCATGAAATCTAATCTCTGAGATGTATGTGCCCATTAGGACTGAAAGGCATAATACCATAGGCAGTCGACTGCACAAGCTAGTTTTTAAAGAAATTAAAAATATGTGTGGCAACCTCTAACACTCTTTTGGGAATCGAAGATTCGCGGTTATTAAATATTTTGCAATTTTGTGGTTGAGTAGGATTTTATGTGGTGTAAGTGCAAAGCATGTGATATTTAATAAATAAAGTTAATGAAAAAATAGTTTTGTAAGCCATCTTACTAAGAAAACTGAGCATTGATGTAATGAACTGAGAAAAGACAAGTGGAGGGTGAAATAGAAAAATGTATGCCAACACTTAACACTGCATTGGGAAGTGCAGCTCAGCGAGAGCATAAAAAAAGCCTTAACAAACCCTTTTGGGCAACCAATTAAAATTTGAAACATTTCAGATTTTTTTTAAATTATTAATTCATTTTGTTATTTTATTTATTTATTTTTAGGGGGCTCTTTCCCCTGTCTCTAATGACTTATTTTTCTTGCTTCTGTACGTTCTGTAGCTCCCCCTTTAAAAAAAAGATTTATGCAATAATTTGCATCACCAAGTTGTGCATATCAAAATCAATAGTAGTAATTACGTTGTTCATTAAAAAAGAAAAAGGTACCAAAATGCATATGAATTTTAACTGTTTAATAAAAGTGAATGTATACATGTATAATATTTAGCTTGATATAACATTACATTAAACTGAAATGCATAAAGTTGTAATTGCTTCTTTTAAAAATGCTAAAGATTCTTATCAATTTATCTTTATTTTTTTTTAAATTATTATTATTATTTTAATAGCTTTTAAATTTATAAGTCAGTATTTAGTTTGTGATCTAGTTTATTATTTTTCATAAAATATTTTATTATTTTTCATAAAATATATCAGTTGTGTATGATATCATAATTAAATATATTTATATATATATTCACATCTTCTGAATAGCCAAAATAGGTAAAAAAAATAACTGAATAAAAGTCTATCCATTAAATTACCTTTTGGAGGAGGGGGGGAATGTAAGTTTACCTTTTTTACTTCTTTTTAATTTCAATCATTGAAGTATGTATAAGTATCATGAATTCATAATTTGTAATTTGTACTCGATTGATAAATGAAATAATGAAAATGTTTGATAAATGAAAAGGAGTCTGAAATACTGATGATTAATTTTAGATGAATCTAAAGTTGTATCTATATGTGTGTGTGCGTGTGTGTGTATTTGGAAGTGATTATAGCAAATTTATTAGCATGTTGAGCAGAAGCTATGCATGTGAGCTAGAAATGAACTATGTATAATTGAAAAGTGTATTATGTGAAAATGTCATGTTTGATGCAATACATTGAACAGTTTTAGTAGCTTTGATCATGGATGGGTTGTTAGTGCAAGACTGGAAGGTCATTCTTACTCTGAGGAAGAAGCAATCCTACAACTGTCAAGGTTGTTTTGCAAATATAAGATATACCATCAGTAGTTCCATCATTATAAGCAAACAGTGGTTCTCTTTATGCCACTCATGGCTGAAACTGGTTTCAGCTGTTATAGACTATTGAAAAGATAGCAGCCCAAGTCATATGCAAGTTTCATGTTGGAGATCCAAGTAATTTGAGTTATAATGTACCTTCAGATGATAGTGAAGCCATTATTATGATACCATATTCTCGACTGTATAAACCACACTCTTCATTTTTACCTCTAATTTTGGGGAGAAAAAATTTCATGAGGATTAGTTGCAGATAGCCTGTCTACCATATATAATATCTTTTCATTTTGGAGGTGTGAAAGCAGCTAAAATGGAGACAGTATTTAACACACACTAAGACAGAATTTTTATTATCAGTCAAAAAAAACATTTCTTTTATATTTAGCATCTCTTCATTCACTATCACTGCCAGTACCACTAGAATCAGGCAATTTAAGCTGTGCATCATAGTTAAATGCAGTGCATTTGCCTGGCATTTTCCTTCAAACAACTTGCAACCACAACTAAACTTGTACAATTTTATGCGAAGTTAACCCGGTAACATTGGATTTTATATTCAGTTGTTAAATATATGCTGCTGTGTTGCCATAGCAGTTATTTGTATGTACCTGTTTCTAGTTATTCGCTTGTATAAGCCACACTCCTGATTTTCATCTGCTTTCTTATATAAAGTTCAGCTTATATATGTGAGAAAATGGTATTTATCAGTGTTATTGTTTACTGCATATTAACAGATATTTTGTCTTGTAAATTACTAGGAATTTCGAAACTGAATCTGTGAAGTAATGCTGACACATGTTTTCAGATAAATCCTACTTCATACTGATTAATGCCAAGAGGGAATACAGAAGTGACATTAATCCATTCTGCTAGTTTTAGGCCATTGATAAATCCTTTTAAGTTACTCCTACTCAAGGTAGTTGTATGAGGGCATGGAAAGGCTTCTCATGAGATTTGTCAAATCATTATTATCTTTGGAAGGGTATTTAAACAACATAAGTTCCTAAATGCTCTGACTATGAATTCAGTCAATGACTTCTAAAAATTCTCAGGACTTCAGCTGTATTTTAATTTTTTATGAGTAATAAACTAGCTGTAGTTTTTATCTACATATATAATATTAATTAAGCAATATTTTGTAACTTACTTTATTGAAAGGGTCTAAAAAATTAATCAAATAATTAAAAAAAACTGTTGTGTAATATAATTTTTAAAAATATGATTTTGTTTTTAAATAAATCTTGGGAGGGGACAATTCTCTACAAGTAGATTATTTGGGTTGGAATCACCAAAAAGAGTGAAGAGGTCACAAAATTTTCACCTGACCAAAAGAGAGCATAAGGATAAGAATGGCCTATATTCATAATTAAAATATATGGCATTAAAATTTCTTGAAGATGGTTTATTTTTGTTTACCTCTCTACCCATAATATTTTGCTTGGAATTGAGCAGTACATTAGATTTGTATATCCAGAAGTGATGTCTAGAGTGGAGTTTTGATTTTTATACCCAAACGTGATGCCTGGTCTGGACTTAGGGATGATGTTGTAACAATTTTAGTTTTTGAAATTTCTTTGGCAAATTTTTCAATGCTTGGTGAAGTTCATAGCCACATATATGGGCATACTGTCATTCATTCTGAAGAAAAATAGACATTATGCAGGAAATTTATATTTTTATCATTTTAATATGTGTTTGTATTGTGTAATCTGTATATTTACATGTGTATGAATCTATATATTTCCCTAGAAGTCTGATGAAGCTGTTGATAATGAAAATGTAGAAGTTGATGTTATGATGCGAGGTAAATGGCCTTTTACTTTACTCTTAGATGCTTTTTCTTTAGTGCTTTGTAAATGAAACTATTATTTTCAGATCTGTATATATAAAATATTGCTATAAGAAAAGTAGTGCCTTTATCAAGCAAAATTTTTGTGATTCTTTTTTAATATTATCAAAGATTTCACAAATTTAAAATTAGTCAAAAGCAATTTTAGACTTGCTGTCAGATTTTGAAGAAAATTCTGTTATTTTAAAGAGTGGTAAGACATAAATTTTGTTTCGTCAGGAACAGAAAAAATTTGGTTCCTCAAGAAAGTAAGTGGTCACTCTCAAAATCTGCATCATTCTAAAATTTCTTTTTTACTCAATTTTAAATTTTATATTGGCATGTTTCTCTTCTGATGAAATCTGAAAATTTTTGGGTTTTTTCCATACATTTTTTTATATTTCATTTTGATTGTTGTTAGATTATTTTTATATTACTATCCATTAGAAATACTTCAAAAGTGCACCACATAATAATCCTGTTCCAAAACCTAAATCAAAATTTCGAGTTTTTCTTTACATTAGGTCTTATTACACTTCTGGAATAAGAGAAGTCATTTTCTGAAGTTACATAAAGATGTCCTCTGTTGGCTGGTCAGATGCTGAAATAGTTTTAGTGCTGAATAATCCTTTTAAAAAGGGGGGGATATTTAATGAGAAAATCTAATTACCTTTTGTACTGTATGTTTGTTCCCAGACTCATAATTTATTAAAGCATTGTCCAGTTTAATGGTAATATTGTTTTAAAATAATTGTGTTGAATATGTGTACAGAATCTAATTTATTTATAAGTGTAAATTATAATTTTAAAACGGTTTGTGTTTTTGCTGCATTTCTGGTACTTATACCACTTTTTATCTTTGATTACGAAATCTTTTGCAGAATTATTAATGTAAAAATCTTATATGAATTCTCCCTATTTATTGCATGAATTTTACTTCTTTTCCTGTGATAAAATTATTATACTATGAATAAGTGAATTATATCTAAGAATATATCATATGTAAATAGTCAGTGTTCTGAGCTCAGGTTTTCCCAATTTTAAATTTCATATCAATCATTGTTTTCATAGTCTGTTGTTAAGCAAAATCATTAATTTGCAAAATGGAATTATTGAAGGCTGAATCTTTGCCATATTGTGCCCACCAGTGGCTCCGTGGTTAAGACTGCCGAATTCTAGTAGTTCAATCTGGCTTGAGTTCAACTCCAGGCGAAGGTTCAACCAGGTGGGCTGTATGGTTAGTTTTCATAGTTTTCCCAATGTGTAATAAGAATACGAGCCAATTTCCATGAGAAAGTCCTCCACTAAGGCGTCTTTTTTCTTAGGCAGATAGCCCTCGTGGCTTTTCTATATTTGAATAACTATTTTAAATCAGGTGCTCACAAGATAGGTACATGGTTTCTCAAGATAATAAATAGTGAATAACTGGGAAGAGAGATTGTTATCCAAAACTTAAAAAATGTGATGTGTACACCACATGACTTCCTTGTACGGAATATTAAATTATACGCATTTTTTCTTGCATTTTATTTAAACTTATTAGATTGAATTAAACCTACTTCGCCGACAGCGCATAAACCACAATAGAATAAATGCATTCTTTAAAATTCACTTTGTTTATCATAGTGACATTCTGGCACTAGGTTTACTTAACAGTATTATATTTCGTTCATATTATAACTCAGAATGCACAAAATGTATATCATTTAAAGAATTATCTAATCATTGCCACATGTTCTATTCAAATACTATAATAAAGCTAAAACTATGTATAAAAGAAATTAAGCAAACAAAACAAAAAAGAAACAGTTTTTCACAGACGATTGAGTATTTCTCATTTAATTAATTCAGTTCTCACTTCGCGAGATGGCAAAAATACATAAAAACTCAAAATATCTATATTAAAAATTACGAAGTAAATCTCAAACGCTTATTTCCTCAAAAAAATTCCAGAAAGAATTAAGCATGATTTAATTGGCAATAATAAATGAATGCGTTACATTTGTTGTTGCGAAGCTAAGTTTCTCTAGATTGGCAACAAATCCCCTAGTCTCTTGTTTCAAATATAAACATCAATGGCCGCCATTAAAAACAGGCTTAGCGGCAATTAAACAACTTTAAAATTGCTGATAATTCTAAAAATATTGCACACAGATTTACTAAAGGAATAAAATCCTTAACCGGAAGATAAAAACAACATAATTCAATCATTTTTAAAGCAAAAAATGTACAATTTACAAACATATAAGAGTAAAGAAACTGAGATCACCGAGCCGGCTAATAGAGTGGATATATATATAAATATATTTATATACGTTTGGTGCGGCTGATTGCAACCAAAATACGAGGTGCACATCTACATGTTATAGCAGTCCTATATACAAAATTTCAACGTTCTGAGGTTACTCGTTTTTGAGTTATGCGAGATATATGTACATACGTACGTACAGACGCCACGAAATATTCTCTTCAGAATTAATTTTAAAGCAGTTTTATAATTTTTTGAAGGAAAAGAGTATTTTATTCTGTCCTTATGTACAGATATCACGCAAAAACATCGTTAAATTGCATTTGATAGCGATCAAAATGGATATTTTCGTTGAAATATGCTGCCTGAAAGTTTTCGCGATTACAATACTTCCTTTTTACTTCGTCCAAGGAAGTAAAAAACCAAAGTGTAGAATTATGTTTCTCTCAGCTTGAATGCAGCTTAAGCGTATGTTATTTGAAAAAGGAAATAAATATGTGTATGGGAAAATCTTCGTCATTTTCTAAATTTGTTGAATATACATATATAGAGAGAGGGAGTCAAAAAGTAAGAAATTTAGAACCTACTGTAACATGAATAAAACTTACTCAGAAGATGAAGTAGTAATCCCTTTGTGAAAAATAGTAAACACAATCAACTGAAGAAAATTCCAAATTAGATTAAAACTGAAATTAAAATGTAGAAATTGTTAGCAAATATATTACATAAATTCAGTAATAATTATATAAATTCAGTGAAAAAGTCTAATTTTATTCTTTTACTTCATTTGACATTGAATTTACCTTGCATCAAGGAGGGCTTCAAAATTTTCAGATGAACTGTTACTAATTAAAAAACTTTAGAATAGTTCATTTGGTAATTTTGAATACATAAACACAAGGGTTTTTCAGTAGAAGAGGAATTGTAATTGAGTCTGATGTATCCTCTGCTTTATTTATTTTCAGGTTTTTACAGTTTTTAAGTTTTAATTTCACTTTTCTTTAACTCTTATTTTGTATATTTATGCGATATTTTGAAATTTATTGGTGTTGAATTTTACTTTTGGGGGTCTTTGTGTAAAATAGGTTCTAAATTTCTTACCTTTTGTCTGTACTAATTGATTTTCAGTAGCATATTGTGTGAAAATACTTTGAATAATTGTGTTTTTAAATAAAAATTTTATGAAGATGAAAAACTATATAACTTTGAATTAATTATACATTAAATTAGCAATAGCCCCTTAATTCTCTTTTTAATTTGAGAATTTCTCCTTCCCCCTTCTATTCTAAAAATAGTAATATCTAAAAAAGCAAAACTGCATTATATCTGAAAATGAATTCAGCATTATGTCATCTTAAGTCTTCTGTATAGCTATTTCCTTTTAAGCTAATCAGCTTAAAATTTTGCTATACCACTGCAATCCAACTACAACAATCTATGTTCTTGCTGATGCTTAATTAACCCACATCTGTTTGCCGCTCTGCAGTATCTTTTATTGTTCAAAATGTAATACTTCATGGCTTTCAAAATTATGAGGTGCATATTACATCCATAAACCTGTGTGAGACAAATAGTGTGTCCTCAGAATTGCTTTATCCAATAATAAAATTATGTTGAATTTGGCTATGTCTGTCTGCCAGTCCATTACAGCTATTCCAGAGTCATCACATTACAATGGTCTGTCAGCGCATTGCAAATTACAGCTGTTCGTAAGTTATCACTACACACACACACACACACACATATATATATATATATATATATAGTACACAAAATAGTGCTCTACATTATGAACTACATTTGAACTTTGTATAACTTCAGCAATGAGCAGAAAAGCAAGCAGGTAAATATTTTCTTAACCACTTAATAGTTTTGCTCGAGCTACGTTTGGGTGTCACAAAAGGGAGCCCCGCTCATTTGCCCGTACACACCGCTCGAGCAGCATTTTCCTACACCAACTCTCTGATTTGCCCCCCCCTCTCTCTCTTTTTTTTTTTTACATTTCAGTGTTTCTAATAAATGTCTACAGTAGTCCAGGGAGACTGGATTGTAAAACCAGTTCAAGGACATATTTTACTGCTTTTCATTTGCGTCTGCATGTTGCTTGAAAAGGAATGATAGCAGGAAATGTATCAGAAAAGAAACCAGATATTTTTTACCCTATTTTGATATAGGACTCTGCGTCTCTCTGTGTTTTAAAATATATCACACCAAAGCTGAGTTTTGAAAAGATATAAAAATGTATATGTTCCCTCCCCAACATATATCTCCTGTAAAATGTTTCCAGTTCTGCACCTTCATCAGGAAAAAAGCCAACTTTAAGTAAAAATGCCTTAAATTAATATATGCTGCTCTTGAAACAGATTTGATACTGATTTGAATCCATGTAATTGATTTGAATACAAAATTGTATATGAAAAATATGCTTAATTTTGGTCACAGTATGGCACAAAAATGAAACTGGTAAGTGGCTAATATTATATACTAGCACTAAAAAATCATAATTAAAATTACAGTAGAATCTAGCATATCTGAGTTGGTTAGCCTTATTTGGCTAACAAGTTATTTGAACACTTGTAAGAGAAATTTAACTTTTTTTCACTTGGAAACATTCTGTTTAACTTGCATTTAGTTTAGTATTGAACTTGTACTTAGCATGTATTCTAGTTTGCAGTAATTATATAAATTATGAACTAATCCTTTATTAAACAGAACATGTATTTTTAAA